CCTTCTGGATCAAGCATTCTCAGTGGGAACTGTATTGCTCCCATAGCGACAAAAATTGGTGCCTGGGGGACGAAAAATCTTACTCTTTTTATGTAAAGCACAGATACACACAGTACATCAACAGGTATACAGTGTATCTGTGACACCAAAATTTCATTGGGACAAGGAGGGGGAAGATTAGGAAAAAATATCTAAAAAGATACTTAGCAGGGGGACTTGGGGGGGGTTCAGAAAAAAAAAGATGAAGAAACATTGCTCTAGAGTCGATGATCTCCTTGTTAGAATGTACCCATGAAACTGTTACTGGAATTGGCCTCCTTCCAAGAAGCTGGGTGCCTGTGGCTAGTGATCCTCCCTTACACCTTTTTGTCAATCCCATAGGTGAGGTTTCTATTTAGTCTCCACTGAATGCTATATTATTTATTTTTATAACCTGCCCCCAGTTTTTTTGACCGAACTACGTTATCAAACGCCAAGTCCACCAAATAGAAGAAAAGTAGAAAGATGAATGAATGTACTTGGGTCTGAATTCCAGAGAGTGCTCTTTTGGCACGGTTTAAATACCGTTAGTATTCTTTTCAATTTTCTGGTTAGGCCCCCATGTCGATTAAAATATGGCTTAACAACAGGGTGCATCGCTTGGCACATTCTGTTCATCATTCATTAAAAAAAAAAATGGTGGATATAAGAACTTCACCCACATAGTGTGGCCTCTGTGATTTTCAAAACCACCTTGGGCACAATATTGAATGCTGTCACCTCGAGGGAAGAAAAGCATTTGAAGGTAGAACTTCTCCTCTTTCTCGCTCCTAATAACATACCGCATCTGTAACGCGAGGGGAAATTCGGAGGTTGGTTTTGGAATGAATAAACTCACGTGCAATTTGCTATTTAAATTCAGTAGACAATCCCCCCACCCCCGGGTGCTGGTGCCATATGATAATGCATGATTTTTACACTCAAGGATCTGAATCACAAAGCTGCACTGGATTTATATGTAGTGGTTAGAGAAACATCTTGTATAAGAAAATACCAAAGGATAGCACAGTGTCATATAAAAGCTATTTGCTAATAAATCTGCTCTTGATGGGCTACTAAAAATGGACACACCAGGCATAAAAGATGTGTGTGTCTATTACATAGGCTAGTGTGGTGAATGATGACAAGTTTCCACTGGTACACCGAGATGAGAAAGAGCTATTGTTGGTGTCGGCACCCCTGCAAGAAATGAAATGATAATTCTGGGACACACTTACAAGAGTTACCGTGTATTTGATCAACTTTTGAATATATGCAAGCCCAGAATCCTCTGGTAGCCCCAAGTGAAATTGCCAACAACCTTTTAACAGTCTCTTGAGAAGGAGCACTGAATCAAATCGCATAGAACCTTCCTTGGATTGAGTGTTATTTCCAAAGCAAGTAGTTCCAGTGTGTTTGTGGTGGTGATGGGGCGGGGGAGGAATGGGGAAAGGCCATTGTTAGTTGCCTTTTATTTTTTTTGCATCGAGGACATTTTTTAGTATAAAATGTTAGGGTTTCTCCTCAATGAGATACCACCTCATACCAGTCAGAATGGCTAAAATTAACAAGTCAGGAAACGACAGATGGTGGTGAGGATGCAGAGAAAGGGGAACCCTCCTACGCTGTTGGTGGGAATGCAAGCTGGTGCAGCCACTCTGGAAAACAGTATGGGGGTTCCTCAAAAAGTTTAAAATAGAGCTACCCTATGACCCAGCAATTGCAATACTGGTTATTTACCCCAAAGGTACAAATGTAGTGATCCAAAGGGGTACCTGCACCCCAATGTTTATAGCAGCAATGTCCACAATAGCCAAACTGTGGAAAGAGCCAAGATGTCCATCAATAGATGAATGGATAAAGAAGAT